TATTGTAATCATAAAACACAATATTGTAGTTTAATGTACGAACTTCTTGCTCATTTTCTTTCTAATACCTGTTGGCTGGCCCAGCTTCCTTCTCCTTGCAAGATGAAATTCTGTTCAGCAGAGTTTCAGTATATGGGCATAGAGAATGCAAACTTCAATTTTACTTGCATGGAGACATTCCCACAATGGGAACAGCTTAGAAATTGTGGGAGAGTCTTGAGTTAGGCCTGTCTATACTTACGCTTATTTCTTACAGTCCTGAACAACATTTTCCCTCCTTTTTAAGTTCATCATGACCTATTTTCTTCTTTGGGTTACTCATCAGAATCAATACATATTACCCAGGCATCACTAGCAATTATAGAGAAATACCCCCAAAATTTTTTACCCCAAAGTGACTTTCTTTAGTACTAAATACACTGACATAAATAATAGCTGCTCTATAAGCATTAATTTAAATGCCAGCAGAAACAAATGAATATTTAATAGTGTAATTGGTTTAAAAGGTGGTCAAATGTAGGTATGAATAGCTTACAATGTATGAAAAGAAAAGGAATTAAAATAATAACAATGGCATTAAATGACATGTTGAATAGCTTTAATTAGACTAAGCATACATGCATCCTTTTCATATTTTTTTCTCATTCACATAGCCAGAACATAATTCATTTCGACATCTCTGACTGTGGTAACTACTAAAGCAATTTGTTTCACCTCATCTTTTCTATTCAGGGCATTTTTCTAAGGGATGTTGTGATGCATCTTTGGATGTAGGGTGGTTGGAATCCTAATTGAAACCTGAGAATTAGTTGAATGATTTAGATTCTTTTTACTCTGGTAACATAGATACACAGTTCACTGAGTGGCAGCTCTGGAGGTAGTGTACATGAAGTCAAATTATTTTTCCTTGCAGGTGACATTAAACAAGCTGTCACGAAATAATCCATTTCCTAGAAAATTTGAATCTGTTTTCCTCTTCTACAACTCCATTTTTCAGTGTAGATGTATGTCTATCCAGCTGATTTGCTGCCCTTTAGACAAAAATCACATCCAGTCAGACACAAATGGACTATTGGTGATAGAAAATGACTTAACCTCTTTTGTTCAGGATGGTCTGATCCAGAAGATGTTTGAAAGTTTGTATTTAATCTTCCCATCAATACTGTCATGACTGATGGGGGACTGGGGATAGCAGGCAGGGGCTGGGAGCAGCTGCAGCCCCTTCTGTTTCTTGGAAACCAAATGGGTGAAATGAGGAATTCTCAGCCCAGTTGTGCTGGGAAAGCCAAATGTCTGCTGCCTTGCTGCTGTAATCTGTCAAGGCAGGGAATTTGCGATTCCAGCTGACATAAATTCTGAGATGATGAATTTGGGTCTTTTGGTTTTCTGGCATAAAAGAAGGGATGAGAGGAAAATAGAGGAGTGAGAACAGATTTTTATTTGTTTATGCTGTAAAATATATGGATTTGGGAATTATGCTTCCCATAACAGAATGTTATGAGAGCATTGAAGGAGTTTTTCCCCTAATATTTTCCTTGTTTGGTTTGTCTGGACTGATTGCATCCAAATGACCAGATACTTCCAGTGGTCAGAACTGCTTCCAAATTGCTTTGTAAGCTGTAATACCATCTGCTTATCAGCTCTCAAAATGGGGGAGAAGGGTGGGTTATTACATACTGCACAGAGCTGCTGACAATCCTCAATACTGAACCTTGTTCAGACCACTGGAACAGCCTTACCATATGAGGAATTCCCAGCTTTCATATTGTTTCATCAAATTGTACAAGTTGTATTGGTTTAAATTAGCATTTGGTTCATCTCTCTGTGCTTGGCAGCCCTATTGCTGAGGTACTTTCAATTATGACTTTTCCACGTTACCGTTTGATGTTTTGTGTGTGTGGTTGTTTCTTTCACGGCTGATTTCCAGGATAGTTTGATTTGTGATAAGGAAAATGTAGTAATTCAAAAAATATATTTGAAGAGTTGGAAGAAAGCACCAGCATGTAAATACAGGTTTACCAGTAAGTCAGTTCAGCATAGCACTGTGGAAGGTTTATATGATCAGTTTTATTAGAGGGTATCATCTCACTGATTCGGTATTCAAAATGAAGCTATTTGAATGTTGTTGGGTTTTACATTTAGGAAGTAGTAACCTTATTTCATAATTACATGATGAAAGCCATAAACAACCATATATATTTTATTCTGCCATTCATAAGACCTTTTACATGCCTCAGAATAAACACAAAAAAATAGAATAGAATATTTCAGTTTTAAAGGACCTATGATCATCTAGTCTGCCTGTCTGACCACTTCAGAGCTGACCAAAAGTTAAAGTGTGTTATTAAGGGCTTGGGGTATTGACCACCTCTCTAGGAAGCCTGTTTCAGGGTTTGACCACCCTCTGGATAAAGAAATGTTTCCTACTGTCCTGTCTAAAAAAAAATCTAGCAATATTAAATTGCATCTCTAATGACATATTGTATTGAAATTAAATCATGCCACTGATCCTGTTTTAACATTTTTAACATACTTTCAAAGGTAAAAAATGTGGGGTTTTTTTTAAAAAGAAACAGTATATGTATCTAACTAGCATTACTGTAGGACTTAACCTCAAATGTAAAACATTTCATTAAAGAGATGTGATAATAGTTAACATCATCACTGCTGTCATCTTGAATGTCTTGACTACTGATTTCCTAGGATATGTTAAAAATTTTATGTTTAGAATTACTGGGGGTTTTTTGCACTGAGTTGAGATCTTCAATTTAGTCTGTTTATATGTTTCAGGACTATACTGTAGTTGTTGCCTACTTCCATAGTAGCCTATTAAAGAAATGTTCATCATGCTATCTTACTCTTTGTCTCTGCGTTTCCCATTCTGATTATGTCTTTATCTACACACTTGGCAACCTTATTTCTGAATCACAGTTGGCATTGTCAAAATGTAGACATCATAATGTCCATGCTCACCAGCCATTTCATCAGGTTTTGCTTAGGGAGCGGTTTGGCAGTCTTTTCCAATCACAAGATTAGTGTTTGCACCTAATTCTTCAAGCTGTCCTTCATTTAGGAGGTTCTTTTGTTAGTTTTGATTCACACATGCAGAATATGATTTTTCTGTTCTTTCAGTCTTTTGGGTTTCAGGAAGATGGGATTTATGGGAAAGTTTGCTCAGTAACTGGTTTGTTGAAAGCTGTACTTCGAGCCCATTAACCTCTATTACACCTACAGAGAGAATTTTTGCCCTTTTTCTCTAGCTTAGATTACACCTGTCAAATTAGATTTCAGATACTTTTGCTTTTTCCCATTGTGAATGGGTCAAGGCTTCCTTTGCAGTTTGTTCTTGAGGGTTAGATGTTTAGATTTTGGTGCTGGCAAATGTTATGAACATGTATGTCATTTGTGCAATATTTCACCTTTCAAAGACAAGATGAAAACACAGTGTTTAGAATTTCTAGTCTAATATTTAACTATTACGCACCGTAATCAAACATATAACGTAAAAGATCAATAGATTTTTGCTTCAAGTTAACTCTGAGGTCAGTGTATACAAGAAACTGGGGAATAAAATTTATTTCATTACCAAGCAAAATCACTTAGCTTATAAATTTTTAATGAAAGGCCATAAATAAAGCTACAGATCAAATTTAATATCTTCTACACTCACTACTGTGAAAATTTTTACAGTCCATAAATTTACTTAAGCGGTATTTAAAACGTGTCAGGGTTTTTTTTTTTTTCAGTAAGAAAATAAGCGCAGACACATTTTTCCTCCTACAGATCTTCTGCTCGGCAAGATGAGTGATTGAAACATATTGTCTATTCTGTCTGCATAATATAAGCTATGCAGAATCTTTTGGTCAGGATTTTGCCAAAAGGCTACTCAAAAGTATGTTTTAACCATGTGTCTTAGTTTTATTATTTGAACTTGAAATACCCAGCTTTTGTCAGATTCTGCTGACGTAGGACCATTTCTCTATACCTCATCTTTCTGGTTGAAGAGACTTGATTATCGCAGTACTTTGGTTGTGAACAGCAAAACCATCCAGCAGCTCAGTGGTACAGAATGCAGCCACTCTCACCTCTTGGATGATAGCAGCCCTCAAATGTGTTGGGCTTTTCAAAATGTACCTGTTTTCTCTTTGGGTTTGTTGCCTTTATCTGTGAGTCTTCTACAGCTTTGGTCTTGACTGTATGAGAAACCATCTATCCATCCTTGTTTTCACTGTGACAACTGAAATTAAATGGCATGTCCGAAATGACTTTCCCTACTGCTTCTTGTCTGGTGTCATGACAGGTTGTCCTACAGAAAGATCTTTAGCTCTGAAACTTTCCTGGTTGCTCTCACAAAGCTATTATGGCCTTTTCATTAGGATGTGGTACCATGATCAGTTTTTGTCCTCAAGTATTTACTTGAAAAAAGATTGGTGAAGTAGGAGAGGACAGAAGGAATGCTCTATTTATTTATTTTATTTTTTGAAAGGGGGAAATGTCTCTTCATTTGGACTGAACTGCACCATGAGAATAACCAAGCTAAATTAATGCCAAGAGGTCAGGATCCTGGTACCAAAGCTAGGGCATACATTAACAGTGGAGGGTGAGAGGTAACGTGCAGAAACCACCTGGAAGGGGATTTATACAATTACAAAAATTCTCCTCCTTGGGTTGTCACTCTCTCATGCCCTTGCCAAGCCATGTTGGGTTGTGATTTTTGGGTTTGGTTGGTTAGTTGGGTTTTTTAAAACAACAGCAAAAAAGGCAAATGCATTTGGTTGTAAGTCAGCGGGAACACTTGTTATACTCAAAATCTTTCTACTTGAGAAACAGTTTAGTGTCCAGGCTTATGCCTGCGTGGGTGGGGGAGGGATAGGAGGCAGGTCTACTATGTAATCTTTTTGTTTATAACTTTAAAAAAAAAAAAAGCTAATTGACCTAAAAGGAATTATTTTAAGCAAATGGGCTGCCAGCAGCTAGCTGACTTCTGTCTTCCATTGCAGCTGCACTCTGAGTGTTACCCTGGAGCAGGCCATCATCCTGGCTCGGAGCCATGGGCTACCTCCTCGCTATATCATGCAAGCTACTGATGTCATGCGCAAGCAGGTAAGATGCTCACTATGGGTAAGATCTTGACATTTCCTAGTAAGATGTGTTATCGTCAAACAGGAATGACTTGACCAAGCATTTTTTAACTTCCATCTTAATGTTGTGTAATATCTGTGTGAGTTTTCCTATTTTGGGTATTTTGCTGGTTTTTTTAGTTCTCTTCCTTCATTGTTGACTGAAAGGTGTTTGGTTTTTTTCTTATTTTTTTTTTTTTTTAAATAACAGAACAGGCTGTTTTTAAACAGATGCTTGCTTTCTCTGTATGTGTAAATGGATCATAATTTCTACAGGGCTATGATGTTACTGAATGATTTTTGTATGGTAACTGCTGTGGCATTGCTTTACATCAGAATAGCCTGAGTAAGACAATCTTTATTTTAATATACAATCCATAAAAACAACTTAAGATTATTAACCATTGTTAATAAAAAGTGACTCATGTACTGAATGAAGGGGAAGTGTAGGAAGGAAGGGGAGAAATAAATACCATGGTTCTTAACTTTCCAGGCAAGATTCCCAAGTACAATGTGCTTATTTTTAAATAGTGTTTTTCACTCTTTGTTCATAACAGAACATGAGGATTTAGAGGCTGTTGTGGATAGATAACCACCTCAACATGACCTCTTAGTGCTAAGATATGACAAAAAATGCTGGATTAAAAGGCAAAATTAATTGAAAATGGGGGATATACTCTACTGTATTGGCACAACTTTCCCTGGAATATCTTGTTATCAGATAAATGCTTTCAAAAGGATGTTTGGAATCTTGGAAGGAGTTCAAAGGAGGAGCACGAATGATCCAGGGGTTGTTAGACAAGGCTTATGAAGTGAAGATTAAAGAGCTCAACCTATTTAGTTGATCAAAGAGAGGTTGAGCGGGGGCTTAATCACTCTGTGTGCATATGGAACGTATATCCCAGCCTGTGGTAGCTTTCAAACTTATGACAAAAGCATAAACAAGATACAGGATGCACTCAATCTTTAAGTGAAAAAAAAAGATAATTAAATATTGGAACAATTAATCACAGATAAGACAAGATTCATAATTTCTGGGGTTTAATTTGCATCTAATTTTATTATTTTCATTAATTCTGCTTCATATTCTGTGCAGCAATCACATTTTAGTTATGAAAATGATTAAACAGGTATACTTTACTTCTAACTTGCCATAGATAAAAATACACACATGCTAGATCAAACCTTTAGCCCGTTAAAGCAAATCTGTAGATATTCTCAAGCCGTAGATTCTGTTCAATTATATGTAAGTGCTGCTGCCTAACATGGATACATCAGAGTAACGAGTCTCATTCCTTTTCATATTGGACTTTCACTTTATTTTGTGCATAAATTAAGTTTTTGTGGTGAATAAATGCCCTCAGGGTTCTTGAATCAGATCATGTAGGTCTGCTAGGAATTACAGCTTTAAGTTGACTTGAAAAGAAAGCTACTGCTCTGTAAGAATAGACTTGCATGTATCGGTTGATATGTCTGCTCCTGAAGTTCTAGACAAAAGGTAGATCTGGGTATTTTGCAGTCAAAAAGCCATGGACATAGAGTTTTGCGTATGTCCACTTGCAGGGTGTATTCTGTCAAGGGGCACATTTTCAATGTACAGTTCTAGGCCATTTTCAAAAATTCTGATTCATTTGTGGATCGTCCACAGTTTTTTAAATGAAGATGAAAAACAAAATGAAAGTAACTTGCATCGTTTTGAGCAGCTGTAACTGTACTTGCTCAAACAGAGATGTAGAAAGAAGCCTGCAGTGGGGCTACATTCTCTGAAGTAAAACAGCAGGTGATCAATAGCTGTTAAGGATACCAATATCTCGATACCACCCACGGACATTCCAAAAAAGTCTGCTAGTATATCAAGCCAGACTTTTTTCACACACTCTCCCTCTTACAGGAAACCACTATGGCATTTAATAGAGTAATAATCTTTTGTTGTCATTTTAAATCAGTCTTGGAGTTCTGTATTATAAATACAGCTCTCCACTATATTCTAAATGTTTTGGAGTAATTTCAGCAATGCACTATGGTATTTTCTAGAAACCTGTTCCAGATTTAGTGTTTAAGGTGTCTGCAGGATTTAACTGTTAGGAGCGTAATGCAGGCCATAAAACTTGGAGAGGAAAAAAAGAAAGCTTCTTGGGGTTTGATGCAGAACATTTAGTTAAGGGCAATACATGCACCTTTTTCCTGGCTTAATATAAAAACCTCCCCAAACCCAAATAAAAACTTTGTTAGCACATTTATACCCTGAATCTTTTGTGGAATAAAGAGATTAGCCACAGGGAGGTGCAAATGAAAGGACATGTATTCCATGTGTTGTTCTGGAGAAGCCAGCAATGTTAGCTCCTAGCAGCATCAGCTTTCCACACAGGGAAAGTGTCTCTACTCAAAGCTGATATCTCTTCCAGCTTGGGAGAGATTCCAGTACTGAATACCTGGAGACAGCTGACTGAATGGATGACCTCAGGAAGCGGTTTTTTTTTTTCTTTTAAATTGAATGAGGTCCTGATCATGTTTAACAAGACTCATAATAGCCCTGACTGTATTGTTGGAATAATTTTCAAAGTAATTACCCTGTCAGTTATTATTAGGTATTTGCAAGCACCTGTTCTGCGAGAACTAAAGAAAAGAGACCAACTTGTGAGAGTTGGTGGTGTGGTTTAACCCCAGCTGGCAACTCAGCCCCACACAGCCGCTCACACACTCCCCCCAGTGGGACAGGGGAGAGAATCAGAAGAGTGAAAGTGAGAAAATTCATGGGTTGAGAGGAAGATGGTTTAATATGGAGAGCAGAAGCTGCGCACGCAAGCAAAGCAAAGCAAGGAATTCATTCCCTACTTCCCATAGGCAGGCAGGTGTTCAGCCATCCCCAGGAAAGCAGGGCTCCATCACGCGTAACGGTGACTTGGGAAGACAAACACCGGAACTCCGAACGTCCCCCACTTCCTTCTTCTTCCCCCAGCTTTATATGCTGAGCATGATGTCATGTGGTATGGGATAGCTCTTTGGTCAGTTGGGGTCAGCTGTCCTGGCTGTGCCCCCTCCTGGCTTCTTGTGCACTTTCAGAGCATGGGAAGCTGAAAAGTCCTTGGTGCTGTTTAAGCACTGTTCAGCAATAAGGAAAGCATCTCTGTACTCTCAACACTATTTTCAGCACAAATCCAAAACGCAGCCCTGTAGTAGCTACTGTGAAGAAAATTAACTATCCCAGCCAAACCCAGCACAGTTGGTATGAACCTCAGTCTGTGGGATGGTTTTAGTTAAATGGTTTCTGTTTTTCATCTGCTAATCCAGTGTAGATTGAATTTTTTAAAATAAAATTTTTGACGAAATGTCCCAAGTATATTTTAGTAACTTTATTTACTCATGTGTATTTATTCGTGTAAACATCTGCACCCACAAAATACTATGTAAAGCATCTTCAGGATGCAGCAAAGTGTGGAGATGACAGTGGCCTAGGAAAGGAGCTGCAGCAGGGCACAGGGCTCTGACGAAGGAAGGTAACTAAAAAGCTGATAAACAGAAAAGGCTAGGAGAGAATTTGTGTTTTCTTTTAAGTGAGTAATCATTTTTCCATGTCTTTTCATGAGTATAGTAACAGCACTGGATTTTGAATAATTCTCGTAAGAACTGTACTGATTTAGAGCTCTTTGAGCAGGGCATAAAGAGAATCTGTTTTCTTTATGTGACTGGTTCTTGCTATCCTTAAATTAGTGTGTAGCTTGAAAATAAACCTATCGCTTTTTTTCTCATGGCAGTGAGAATACTAGTTCATATGAGAGTCCAGATTGATGGTGGTGTCTCCTCAGAGCTGCCAGCATCTTTCACCAGTGCTCTCACTGGCAGTACTGGTATGCCGAGGGAAGCATTTCAGAGTCGTGTAGCCCAACTATCCCTTATGCCTATGTTAGATGAACAGTGTCAATATTTACATTGCTATAGCTTTAAGAATTATATTGGAGAAGTATAAATTAGCAGTACATTGAAATAGAAATAGTATAATGGTGGTCAGTGGAGACAGAGAGTTGTCATGTAGCAAGTTGCTAGTAATTCTTGGGGGCTTTTCCTTAAAATAAGTAAGAATCTGGTGGTTGTAAGTAAGGTCTAATTTGTTTTCCTGCTAAACAATAAATTACACGGTTCTATAAAGCTAGACTCCTTCTTAAATCAATGCATTTGATTTATTATGTGAGCAAGATACTAAAATTAATTTGTCTAGTGAGTGATGCAAGTAAAAATAGGCTGGTTGTGTTCTCAGAGGTAGTCACAGCACTGACGTTCAGGATCTACATGTGATTAATTTAGATAGTTTTCCCGTGATATGTATATTCTGGCTCTCAGTTACGTTAATCATATGCCAATCTCAGCAGTCTGTCATGGTGGGGTTTCTTTAGTATGATAAAATTGTAGAATATGGCTCTGAGGAAAGGATGCTGAAGGTGATAAAGGTCTGGACTGAGCATGTCTAACTTTGTAACCAACACCCGATCAGCTATCCTTATGTAATTCAAAACTTTGTGCGCTTGTCGTATCTGTTCTTAAACCTCCAGCAGTGGCAACTCCCGCACAGTGCGTCCTAAGTGGTCTGTTCCACCGTTTTCTTAACCTCATTTGAGTTTGTTTTTTTTTTTTCTTTTTTTTTTTTTTCCCTTCAGTTTAAGTCTTCTGTTTTCTGTACAGTTTACTGTAGACTTAGAGAACAGATTTTACTCTCCTTTTAGCAGCAGACTTTTAGTATTTTGAATGTTTCCAGAGATGGGGCATTTACAACCTTTCTTGGCAACCTGTTCCAGTGTTTCACCACACCCATTGTAAAAAATTTCTTCCTTATATCTAGTCTGAATGTACCCTCTTTTAGTTTAAAACCATTCCCCCTTGTCCTGTTGCTACAGGCACTACTAAAAAGTCTGTCCCCAATTTGATTATCATTTCCCCGATAAGCCATCCCTTTTGTAGATAGAAGAACATAACTACATCTGGTCTTTCTTTTTTTCAGTTGTGCTTTCTTACCTTGTCATTCTCCCTATTCTCTGAACTCTTTTCATAGAATCATAGAATGTTTTGGGTTGGAAGGGACTTTTAGAGGTCATCTAGTCCACACCCCCTGCAGTGAGCAGAGACATCTTCAACTACATCAGGTTGCTCAGAGCCCCATCCAACTTGATCTTAAATATTTCCAGGGATGGGGCATCTACCACTTCTCTGGGCAACCTGTGCCAGTGTTTCACCACCCTCATTGTAAAAAATTTCTTCCTTATGCCTAGCCTGAATCTACCCTCTTCTAGTTTAAAACCTTTACCTCTTGTCCTGTGAGTGAGGCTCAGCTAGGTGTGCCTCAAGGCTTGTGAATATCAGTGAGGATTTGCATGTCCAGTGCTGGTGGGACCTTAGAGGTTTGGACTCAGCTGCAAGTATAAAGGTTATTTGGAGAAATCAGAGGTTGGGGCTGGGCAAGTGGCCCCACTTTTTTCTGTGTATGCTGAGAGTTAAACGCTAAATATTCAAGCAGTTTGATATGGGTTTGAGAGGATAACAAAAAGTCCCTCTTGGCAGGGCTGCTCTCGATCCTTTCTTCCCCCAGCCTGTATTGATACTGGGGGTTGCCCTGACCCAGGTGCAGGACCTTGCACTTGGCCTTGTTGAACATCATGAGGTTCACACAGGCCCACCTCTCCAGCTTGTCCAGTTCTCTTTGGATGACATCCCATCCTTCTGGCAAGTTTTTATTAAAGATGAAAAGTAACTATGAAGAATTACAAAAGGATCTTGCAGGACTTCATGATTGAGCAATTAAATGGCGGGCAAAAATCAGTGTAGGTAACTCTTAAGTGATGCACACAGGGGAAGAAACAAACCCTAAACTCACATTCAAAATAATTGACTGTGAGCTTGCCATTACATCTCATTTTCAAGACCTCAGGATATGACAGAAAACATCAGCTCAATTATTTGATTATTAGCTCAGCTATCAATTTGATTGATAGCTCAGCTATTAGTAAAGCAAATCAAAAGTTACAATTGTTTAGGCAAGGATAGATGACAAAGTAGGAATCATGCTGTCATGACCCTTCATTTTGAACTATCTGATGTTCTGATCCCTTCCATAAGGATATAGCATAATGGAAAAGGTTCAGAGAAGATCAGAAAAAATGATCAACAGTTGGGAATGGTTTATGAACAGACAGACAAAATAATTTATGATTGTTCAGCTTTCATGAGTGAAGGAGAATATGACAGAGGTTTAAAGGACATGTGGCATGGATAGGGACTGGCCATTGTCCTCACCAGTGCAGAACTAAAGGCGTCAAATTAAAGTGGCAGATTCAAACCAAATTGAAATAGTTGTTCTTGACACAACAAGCTAAGACTGTACTCAAGATGTGGATCTCCTTCCACAAGTAGATTAGTGATGTGAAGTTATTAATGGGTTCAAGATCAGGTGGGAATGAAGAGAAGAGAATCACTGAAATCGATTAAATACATAGTCGCTGCTGAACAGAAGAAGTATTGAGTGACTAAGGATTGAATTCTGGAGGAGTTCCTGGGGAAAGTCATGTTTGTTGTGGTCTGCAGTCATGTGCTTTTTGTCGGAGACAAGCTTACTGAGCTAGATACAAAGCTAGTAAAATCACTTTTATATTCTGCCTTCAGTTTGTAGGCACTCTAGTTATTTTTCTCTATCTTTACCACTATTTTTTTTCCTAAAAGCAATGTAAGGACACAGTATTTTTTTGTGGCATGTGTTGATTTACATACACTCTGAGAACCTACCTGTGTGCAACCAGCCAGCCTTTTTCATCTTTTGTTTGAGCCCATAACAGTGAACTAACACCTTCTCAATTACCTGAGTACCAGATTTCAGTCAAATGCAAGGTCTAGTCTTACTCTACGTATTGAATCAATTATATCTCACTTCTACATCATGTTCAGTCGCCTTTGCAGCTCTGTTTGGAATGTAAATTATCTTTGATGTTTTACACCAATCTAAGATCTCACTTTAAGAATTCTGAGATTATATATTTTTGTTCTCTGTTATTTTGTCCTAAATTTAGGTAGTGCAGAAGGAGAAATAAAGGGAGAGTCGGTGTATTTATTATAGACAGAACAAGTCGTTTCCATCTCCTTTAAGATGTTAGAAAACATAAAGAGACTGTAAATCTAACAGATGTGTCTTTATGATGACTGCTTTACATTAATAAAACTGCACTTCAAAAGCTTGACCTCATCATTTAAAAATGAATTTTACTAAGTTCTTTCATATGTCTAAGCTAGTTTGTTTGCAGAAGAGTCTGCATTTTTCACTATCGTGGTATACGACCATTATGCGTGTTTTATCAAATTCCTCCTTACTGGATGAGTCAGGGAGACAAAAGGACATTCATTCTTGGTTTCCAAAGGATCAACTGAGGTACAGAGAGACCAGCTTTTCTAGTTGACCCTGCCTTAAGCAGGGGTGTTGGACTAAAGAGTCTCGGGAGGTCCCTTCCAACCCAATTTTTTTGTGATTCTGTGATTATAAAGGAAGATCAGGACCTGCATTTTTCTAATTCTAGTTTAGTGCCTCAATTTAGGCCATTTTTCTAGATTTAACTAGAAAGCTATTCATAGGAAATAATCTGCAATATTTGTTTGTTCAGAAGTTTATAGAAAATAAGTGACATTTCAGAAGATAACTTTGTTATCCTTGCCTTCTACAAAGAACAGTGACAAAAATCAAACAAATTGAAACAAGATGGATTTGGATTGTTTTAAACCTTAAATGTTAAATTTTTATGAAGATTTTTATGTAGTAAGATATATATGTACACATTTAATGACAAGTGGAAAGATTTTTGTCTTTCCTGCGTATTTTTTAAGTTGAGAATTAATGCTTTAACTTGTTCCCCACCTTAGAAGAGGAGAGTTGCTTTGGGATACAGAGCATATGGATGAATTAATTATAATCAATAGTCATGTTCAGCTACAAAGCTCAGAAAACTTTCTAACTTGTGTTGAAATAAATGAAGCAAAATTGTTGTTTTTCTTTCACAGGGTGCAAGAGTACAAAACACAGCCAAGAATTTAGGAGTGAGGGATCGAACGCCACAGTCTGTCCCAAGGTAACTGAGTGTTTGTGTCCCAGACCATGATTTGGTCTGGTTTGTGCCAAATTCTGACCTAGCTGCTCAAAAGCTCACGGTAAACATTGACTGTACTGTGCACTAGCTGGTAAGATTTGGCTTTTAATATCCATAGAATCAATTACGTTCATAGCCATACAATTTTAATTAAAGTAATTAGTTGCAGAAGTTCAGCACTTTAAAATGTGCCCTTTTTTGAAAACTGAAACCTAGTTCATGTTAATTATGAAAACACTGGAGTAAGTTCTTCATTGCTTGTGATGTTTAGTGGTTTGGGGGAAATATTCGTAACTAAATCCATACCCCATTTTAATGAAATACTGTAGTGTAATATCTCAGCAAAATCATGTTCTAGTTGCTTTTAGAGATGATGTAGACTTTCTTTGTCTCTTTCTGAAACATCCATTAGAATGAAAAATGCGACTGTTCTATATTTATCCAGCTTTTTAATGCTGTGATGGATTGCAGGTACCTGAAATGTTTCTTAACGAGCTCAATACTTATAAATGAAAATAACCAAACAGCAATGTTCTTCATTTTAACTTAAAGTGGCTTTATTAATCCAGCTCTAATTTAAACTTTTTTTTTAACCAATTTAGAAAATAATGGGTTTTTGTTGACTAATGATAACGCATTGAATGAGCTAAACAGATACGTGGAATATATAACAGACCCACTGTGGTGTTTAAATTGCAATGAAGAAACAGTGAATTAGTAATACCTGATAGAGGTGACTGTGTAAATGAACCCATACAGTATCCATAGCCTCACAGACAGACTTGTCTTCTGGGTTCTGACCAGTAAGACCCAGGAACTTTTTCTTATGCAATTTGCTCCCCTTTTCTCAGGTGTCCCAGTTTCTCCCAGTAGGGAATCAGGCTAGTGCTCGTACTTTGTTGGTAACAAATCACTGCACGTTGTTCCTTGCCTGTCCTGGATCTGATTCTAGAAAAGGAGTATACCTTAAGTGTACGAGGTATGAGTAAATCTGAGTAGCAGCTGCTGTTCAGTTGCTGAGTAGCAGCATTTGTCAGAGCATATATGCATCTTGTGTGCCCCATAAAGGAGATTAAATAAGATCCAAGCAAAGTACAGATTCTACAGTAAAACCATCAGCAGTAAAGTCATTGCCCTTAGCAGCAGATGAGAGCATCCCTTCTCACAGTAATTATTAGCTTAGAGGCAATCCAGGACCAAAACTGTCTGACCGCCTTGCATTGTAGGAACCTAAGGCAGTAAAATAACATTTTATTGCAGTGAAAGCTGCGTGAAGCCTTTCTATATTTTGAACAGTATGGGTTTGGCCTTAAATGGACTTTTCCTTCATGACGTAATTCTGGAGACAGCCAAAGAGTTGTTGCAAATTAAACTTTTCCCACCTCTAAATGACAGAGCACGTGTCTAGATTCAGAGCTTTTGTGATAAAGGAAAAATTTATGTTCTTAAAAAGAAAAACTTAGCCATGAGACATGTTCTGGCTTTGCATCCGTTGAGAAAAGATCAGCTCTTTCCAGTTGACACTCTCACAACATAGCAAGGGAAAGCTGAAGGAAAATGAGGTGGCTCCTAGGACATAGAATGGACAGATGCATCCAGCAGACTTGCCAGTCAGCCATAACAGCAATGTCACAGGAATATCTCATTGATTTCAGTGTTCGGGGCATTTTGTGTACCGTTAGAGAGATAAGTCACGCACGTCAGAAAAGTCACCAGTGGGAGGGATACTTCTGATATATAGGTAAATGGTACTGTGGGTTCTCAATTCTTTGCCTTGAAAAGAATTTTACCATTACATTTGGCTCCATTTAGCGTCACTTGACAATGTTCTCAGTTCTCTGCAATTGCCACTGTGTTCTGTCTTTTCTCAGCTGATCTGTTTGTACCATCTCAAATGGTTGTTCCATATATATTGACCCAGAACAGGCTCTTTCTGTTCTATACTGTCTTCAGCAACTATATCTCCTTAGACCAGGTTGGATGGGGCTCTGAGCAACCTTATCTAGTTAACGGTGTCCCTGCTCCCTGCAGGGGGGTTGGACTAGGTGACCTCTAGGGGTCCCCTCCAACCCAAAACATTCTATGACTCTATGATTTATGCAGCCTTGCTGTTAGTTTGCTTCAGAATTCCCCTACATCACTTGCTCTGAAGACAAATAATCTTGATGATTACCATTTTAACCTTAAGAATACACAGACTTGGTACTTGGGGCTGAGCTTTTCTGCACGTTATTCCATAGAAACTAGATTTTGCTAAAACATCCATCAAGAGCTAATGCCACTGCAACTACTTAGATGAGATTCTGACAATAATTTTATCTGTCTTTTGCCATCTGCGAATATTACTGCTTTATTACACCAGCAGAGTCAAATAACTCAAATAACCCCTGTTTATTTTTCTCTGCATACTTGTCAGTATAAAGATCAGGCCGTCTTATTCTCTCGTTGGTATACAAATATGATATGTATATATGTAGTGGCTTATATATGGCTCCTAACAAATACATGGGTGCCTGCGCAGTGTAACCTGAAGTGATCATGTTTCTGAATCTGCCAGATGACAATGTGGAAGAGCCCAGTGATCTTCAGAATGCATGAGGGTGGAGGTTTTGCAATTGCTGTTTGGCTGCCAGAACTGATGTGCCTTGTTCTTGCCATCCAGAAACAACACTGCTTGATAATCACTTCCAGGGAGATTCAGGAAAAAAGTTATTTAGCCCGCGGCCGTTGCGTGTTGTCAGTGTCCCGTGGGTTTTAACTCCTAAGGGAACTGAAATAAGAGAACAGCAGCTATCCTGCCCTGCTCTTGCATAGCAACAGGGTGTTTTTTCTGACAGGCTGTGCCTAGATGATGAAGAGGCTTTCAGTACTCACGGGTGCAGCCATACAGACTGTGCCTCACATAATTTCAGTAGCAGAGTATCATGCCAAGAAGGCACCAGACCATTGATCTTGAATTGTTTGGGGAGCCCAGCCACGTGCACAGATTTTTGTTTCCTGCGTTGATTTGTAGTATGATTTTGAAATTTATGATTAGTTAAAATGGAGTCATATAAATTAATGCAACATTTAGCAGGCAAATTTGCCTGCTGTATATACTTGGAAAACTGAGATACCCTGAGCATCTTAAATATCGCTAGCCCCCAAGCCACTGCACATCTCACCACCCTGCCTGTAGCCAGACCTACCAAACCTGCTATTTCTATTGCTTTGGTATTTCAGCATCAGAGATTCTTCATGTTAAGTATTAATGCACATGCTGGGTCATTCTGTCTTCACTTTTGGCTTCTGATGCTTTTTCTCCTTGCCACGCCATACTTGCTCTCTTCTCTTAGCTATTACTTCAATGATACACTTTCCCTGAGGAAAATTTGTAATCTCCAAATGAGATCATGTCTCTTGCTGGCTCTAATTGTTGTGGTTCCAGAGGAGATATTGTATATGGGACATACTTACAGAACAGAGAGCCTGAGGTCAGATTGATTGCCATTTATTTTCAGTATTCCTAACATCAAGGTAAAGTTTCAAACACTCATTAATAACAATGTCCATGTAAAAGGGTTTAATAGAAATTCCAAAACCTTTATGAATGAAGGAGTGGCTATTTCAATCTGTACTGAGGTAGTCATTTGAACCAAATCTTACTGGTCCTGACTTCATACATGTAGAAAGCAGGGGAGAGAGCTTAAAATCTTCATGCTGGCGTGTCATATGTCTGACATCTGGTTTAGGTTCTTCAAACAGCATCAGTTTTATAGGGAGCTGTGTTCGAGTGAGGTCTGACTGTGCCAAAACCAAACCAAAATGGAGGCAATTGCATTCACCAAGCAGCTTTTCCAATATAGAAATGCAGAGCCACAACTGGTAATTAGATTAGTGGAGACTTAGGTTTCTCCAGAACAGGGTCTTCAGTGCAGAAATATGAAAACTTGACTAAACTGGAATATCTTGACAAGATTGCTGGTAGATGTGTGTTTTAATGATACCACTTTCAATGTAAACATGCATGCTCATGAATAAGATTTTACTGGTTTTATATCAATGTTATCAAACTGAATTCCGTACCTCTTATTTTGCAGTGCAGGAAGACTTAGATTTAGTTTGTGTGCCTTACATGTGCCCATTTTAATAATGACCAAGCTCTCAGAATAAAAATTGCTTTGGTTTTTGTCGTTGTCAGATTATACAAGCTATGCCAGCCACCACCGCCCGCTGGAGAAGAATGAGGAGAACTGCTCCAGACAGTAATCCAATAACGGTCTTCAGGATACTGGGACTACATGACAAAATCTAACTGCACTGTAGCAGTATGTGCTTGGGGCTTTGATAAATCAAAAAGCCCTTTACTCAGGATAAAGAAAGAAATACCCTAAATATTCTCTGTTGGCATTGAAAAATGACTTCCAAAAAGCATTTCTGGAATCTGTGCATTCCGGCCTTACACTAGCAGAACAGGAATCTTCCTTGGGAATTTTACACTGGAACCAGGTTCATTTGACGTGTCTTGTTTGGCCACATGATAGGCATAGTCAGCAGCTTGAAAACACACGTCTTGTTCAGAGAGAATGACTTCCCTTGTACACTATACAGAATGTGTTCTTGTGAAAGAAATAAAAGCCTAGATCAACTAGGCTTGATAATGAGCACGCACTTCATATGGGGCCCTTTGCACTGATAATCCCTTCTTCCCTGTTGCCATCATAATTTCTCAGAACGATGACATTCCTGTTTCAAGGATATCATGTAAGTGAGGTTTAAAGATGGAAAACTCATCTCAGAATTGTGTTTAATGGCTGCAGGCAGACTGCTGCTATGAACGTGTGTGCTTGTAATCAGTAAACTCAGCCATGTCTTACGCCGTCCGTTGCCATACTCCTTTAGAAGGAATACCTGTATGGCATCCGAGGTGAAGTTCTGCCCTTTTTCAGTTGCCATTATGATGAAGAAGGGTTAAGTCTGATCTTCATCCATAATTAGACTGAACTTCAGACTCTGTCTAATGGATGTTTTATGTTGTTGCGCCTCTGCATTTCAGAGTTTTCCAGAGTTGTGTATATTCTTGTACAGTACTATACTGACAGATCTACGTAAGGGGAGGAAGAGGCAGTATTGTTATGTTTAACTGGAAATGTCTGTGGTTTAAGTTGAAGCATAGTTTGGAGGTTTGATGTTTTATGCTACCATTTCCCGTATTTTGTCAGAGTTGTTTTGTATAGCGTTTCAGTTCTTTGGAGTGGTAATTGTTACAGATTTATTTCTAAATTGTTCTGCGTATTTAGAGGGCCCAGGGAAAATGCATCTGCATTTGGCTGTTCTTTTGGCCAAAGAATTTTCAGAGAAAATGCCCCCGAATGAGGTTTCGTATGCGAACACATTAAAACAAAAACTATATTCTGAACTAGTTCTACTTGTCACAGTAGCTACGCATTCTATTAGGGCAGGACATATGCTGTCTGAATAAAATTTAGTTTTTGTACAACAGCAGCCTATAGTTATGCTGTAGCAATCAAACCTCACAATGTAATTGTTGCATATTATCTAATTATTTATGAAATCTTCAACAAATATATTAATCCGCAATGAAATAAGTGAGAATTCAAAATGAGCTGTACTCTTGCAGAGAGTGTTTTTTGTATAGGATATCTAGGGGACTTGTGACTTTTCTCCAAAGGAGGAATTAGAGCTCCTACCTTTTTCAGTATTCTTAATGTTTTGACACACTTTAACTTTGCTAAGAAAATAAATATTTTTATATACCCGCAGATATATATGTCTGCGCATATACATGAGTTTCAATATGTATATATTTAGGTAGTCATACCAATTACTTGTCCAACCTTACATATAGAATGTTTGCCTTAATCTGTGACAAAGACATGCCATAACAAACACTTCAATAACTTAAAAAAAAAAAAAAAACAAAACAAAACCAGAAAACAAAGTTTTACTCTTTAGAAACTTACTCTTTTTGTCTAGGATCACCTATGCTTGTGTGTAAGAGTCACGTTTTCTATAGTTGCTATTCTAGTTGGCGTCTCATACTTTTGGGTGTGTTTTACTCGGTGAGGCAGTATTGGCTGGCATAATTCCCGCTCCAGGCAAAAGCGCCCCAAAATGTTTCAGTTTCTGCTTGTTCAGACGTCAGGAGTACAGAGAAGCCGTAACCTCCTCATGCCAAGGATGGTGCCGGTGTCAGCCCCAGCTGCGAGCTCGCATCTTCCCGTGAGATTTGCCCACATGAGTTTTGGTTTTTTGCTACGAGGCAAGTCAGCTGTCAGCTGCATGGAGCTGCTAATCCTGTGTAATATAAAATGACCTAAGGGACAAAATCTGTTGTATGCACACACGTTATTGTAACTCGTCATGGCTTTTTTAATTGAGTTGAAAATGGTAGGAGTGCAGATATGCCAGAATAGTCTCCTGTATAATATGGTAATTGTCTAATTCGTTTTGCTGTTGAAAGCATGGGGTAATAGACACTTGTAAACACCAAGGGACAAATAGTTACGAGCCAGTCACTCGACCAAATTCTATAGCTATTGTTTCATGAGTGTACATCAGAAATCTTGACCTCTTGGTTTTGTATCTAATTTTTGGTTCTTTATTCTTTTTTTCCCCCTTGAGAGGCAGTTTTCAGAAACTTATTCAGCACTACGAGCTTCAATGGTGACCTGTACTGCAAAAGAAAGTATCTATTTAGCCTGGTATCAAAGGGGCTGAGAAACTTAAGCCCTGGTTTTCTGGAATTACAGGTAGCACGTAAAGATAGGATTTCCAGAGGAAATGGGGCATAAATGTCCCACTGAGTGTGTCTGGAAAGTGGGTGCCTAATTTTTCAAGATTTCCTTCAAAAGCCAGTGTTCGCTTGAAACATTGTGCAGCTTTTCAGACTGCTTTTCTTGCCCCTCTGTTTCCAGAGCACACTGCCCATTCTGACACGTCTGGCTTCTAATAACATTAGATGGACCTTTAAGAAGCCCATTCTTAAATTAGAAATTTACACGTGTTTGTTATTAAAGCTATTTATCTCGTTTGGTATATGTAGAGGATGTATTTGTTCCTTATGCAAGGTGCACCTGCAGAGTAAAAAAAATCCATTCTCATCGCAGTATGTTTATCCTCTCATAAATTTTTAGATTTACAGATGACACGAAGAGATGACCAAGAGTGATGATTTACAAGAACTGTAGCACCCATAGCTTCTTAAATCTTTGCTTCTACAGCAACAGATTATGCAGCCTGTTTTTACAACAATGTGTTGTACTGGTTTAGGGAAAGCATTCTGTATGTAATTTTTACTTTTTCATCCAAGACAAGTGTAATTCTTCTGGGAATAAATTCAAGGATCTAGAGACATACGTTACCCAGTACTGACTGCCAGAATTCAGTGGTAGCCTTTGGGGGATCATTTAACAGCTGGGAAGGGAGGGTTAAGGGCCAAGGAACAGCTGAGTTGCCATAGGGTTCATGCTCGGAAAAAGCTTCGATTTTGATTTTAAGGTAGAGCTGATGATGTTTGGCCTATCTTTGTAACCATCATCTATGAATAATAGGATGCTAAACAGTCTTTAATCTATGAAATGAGCATTGATTCAGTTTGGTCCCCCAAATTAAGTATTTCTAACACTTATTTCCCCTGTAGATCGTAAATGTCAATGAATACAAAAAATGTATACATTCCAATTTCTTAATGTCAAACATTTTTGTGTTTAGGGATCCATTTTAAAGTAAATATTCCTGCTATCAGCTGAACCAACCAATCAATTTTACGTCCACTGAGACAGCCGCAATCTTTAGTGGCTTTTTAGATAGTTTTCACTGGGTTTTAGCAAATACATCAGGTTTTGAAATTGGTTTTTATTTGTTTGGGGTTTTTTTAATGCAGTCAATAGCTGTCAGAACTGCTCTTCTACTCTTTTAGAGCCAAAACAATTAAACTTAAGTTGACGAGGATTTATAGTAATCATACTTCATTTCATTTGTTAGAATCCCCTAATGGAAAAAAATGAACCAATTTTATTGATCTGCTTTTACCCAGAGAAATTCACAAGCAAACAACAGTTATTTTTTGTTTCATTAATTCATTGTCTGATGTAGTGTGTGTGTGTGTGTGTGTATATATATATATATAAAAAAGACAATTGCCTGAATGTGAGTATACATGTCATGGTTAAGCATGATGCTCAAAAAAGGAAAGTATCTTGCATTTATTTTCATTTAAATTGTGAAATCAGTAACTGTAGTCTATATACATACTGTTCCGTACTCTTCACTTTACAGCTACTTCATGGATATGTCTGCCAGCATTTTACGCATATTTTGCACCATTTTTGTTTAACATTATGAGAAGAGTTTCTCAAGCTAATGCATTGCCTTGTGTATTTTATCTCTGTACTTGTTGATAAATGCAGGTAGTGCTTTTCTAATTGTACACCAGCAGTACACTGGCATTGGTGAATTAGATGCACAGTACATACCTGTCTCAGGATACCTGGATTTTTCATCATTAGGTTTTGAAGTATAAAAAGATACTGAACTCATATTTTTGTATGCTGACAATTGTGTAGGGTTTTTTTTATATACTGTATATATCAGTGAAATTTTCCTAAAGAAAATGTATTATTAGGAATGTTTCCCTTTTCCTACTAGGAGATGTGGTTTTGTTTCCTTGTTACGTGTGTATAAATGAATATACAGCATGCACAGTCATGCAGATGTTGACACCGGCGAGAAATTTGAGATTGCCCAGAGGCCAACCAAGTAGTCATTTCATATGTTCTTCTCCAGAAATAACATCTCTGTGCTAGAAATCCTATACAGCTGGAGGGGAAGTACTTTAGAAATAACTTCTGCTTCAGTTTGAAAGTCTTATAGAGTGTTCAAAGTAGCTGGAACATTTCTGCAAGTACTCAGATTTGGACTTCCATGGGAATATCCACAACATCTTGTGTGGGTGTGCATGTCCTATTTGTACCATGCACAAGATTTAAAAGACTAAGCAGCCTTACTAACTTTTTAACACCCTGTATATAGTGTACGTATTTGGTTATATTGGTGTTACACTTTAAAAATGAACTTAATTTCTGCATTGAGTATTGCACATGTTTTTCGAATGAAGAATATATTGTTTGTAACGTCTCATTAAGCACAAGAGAGCATTACTGCTTTGAAATTATGTATAAGTACAGCCATACACAGAATCTCTCAGTGAGCTTTTCTTTGAAAA